GGCACTGTGACGTCACTCGGGCACTGTGACAGTGTGATCGTCGCTCTGGCCTAAGTTTCCTACCCTTGGTGCCCTGTTCATACCCACTCGATCGGTGGCTGTCAGGTTTGCTCCACCTCAAAACGACCTTAGTGTATTCCATCGCAGCATGGACTTTGCAGCAGACTTCCCGCTAGCCCCCGGCTCATTTCATGACACACGCAACAACACTATGGCCGTTGCACAGCTGGCGTGGTGGGACCGCGCCGTACGGCGGCGATTCCCTGTCGAGGCTCGGTACCCTGCCCGGCCACGACGTGCGGCTCCCTGCCGCGCGCCGCCGCCCGCTCCTGCGCCGCTCCACCGAGTGTTGCCGTGACGTCACAACTGCGTCACCAGGTGCGGCACGAACCGCGGCCGCACGTGCATGTGCCAGGGCCTGGACGGGGAGCGCGAGGGCGCCTCCTACTCCTTCGGCTGCTCTTACAGCATGTACTACAACGCCTGCAAGTTTGCGCGCAGCACCCGCGCCAGAAAGTTCCGACTCAATCATCAGGACAAGGTATGCATTCTGGGCTGTGCGACTGAAGCGCAAGTGTGCAAGTTCGTCGCAGGTTATCCACTGATGTGTTTAGACTGGAGCATTCTGTTACCGGCTCAAGTACACCCGGTTTTGCCCCAGATCTGGGTGCGACATTGCACCAACATTCGTTTGACTCCAGGCACACTCTGTCGTCAAATCGACGTTGACACGACGCTCGCGTTCAGTTGACTGGTGAGCTGCTGGCTCTGGAGATGCTGCCTGCTGTGTCACTCTCTGTGTGTTCGGGCCGACCTGACCGCTGCTAGCGTCGACAGGAGCTGGAACTGGAGAACGAGCTGCAGCAGCTGGCCACCGAGCTGGCACCGCTGTATCAGCGGGTGGCACCGACCGCCTACAATAACCAGGTGAGGGGGGCTGTGGCTGGAGATGCGGAAGTGACCCCCATGACAAGCTCTTGCACCGCTGCAACGCCCTATTGAGGTGAAGGGGTGTATTTTAGCATAGTTTTTGTGAGCCATTTTAGCGTTAAATTACAACAAAAATCAGTATCACACTTCTAATTTCTTGAGAAAGCTTTTAGAGAAAATGCGGTTTCTGCGGTGTCCTTTCCCTTGTTCTGCTGATGTCTCGGTACTGTGTAGTTACCTTGATTGTTGTCCAGGTGTGATCAGCTCCAACTGGCGTGAACCAATGTCCTGATGTCATGAACTTTATCTAGGTCATGTCCAGGTGTGATGATCCCTATCTGGGCCATCCGTAGGTGTGATGAGCTCTATCTAGGTCGTGTACAGGACTGTGATATGCTCTATCTAGGCCATCCCAGGTGTGATGAACTCTATCTAGGCCATGCCCAGGTGTGATGAGCTCTGTTTGGACCCTGCCCAGGCATGATAAGCTCTATCTAAGCCATGTTCAGTTGTGATGAGCTATATCTGGTTTATGTCCAGGTGTGATGAGGACTATCTAGGTCATGCCCAGTTGTGATGAGCTTTAGTCTAGGTCGTGTACAGGACCGATATGCTCTATTTAGGTCATGTCCAAGTGTCAAGAGCTCTATCGGGGTCACGTCCTGGACTGTGGCATACCATATATATTGAGGGCCATCTTCGGGTGTGATGCCCAGGTGTGTCTATCTGGGCTATGTCCAGGACTGTGATACACTATATCTAGGCCATCTTCAGGTGTGATAAATTCTATCTGGCTATGTACAGGACTGTGATATACTATATCTAGGTCATCTTCAGGTGTGATAAATTCTATCCGGGCCATGCCCAGGTGTGATGAGCTCTATCTGGGTCATGTCCAGGTGTGATGAGCTCTATATGGGTCATGTCCAGGCGTGATGAGCTCTATCTGGACCACGTCCAGATGTGATGAGCTCTATCTGGGCCATGTACAGGTGTGATGAGATCTATCTGGGTCATGTCCAGGTGTGATGAGCTCCATCTAGGCCATGTCCAGGTGTGATGGGGTCTATCTGGGCCATGCACAGGTGTGATGAGGTCTATCTAGGCCATGCCCAGGTGTGATGAGCTATATCTGGGTCATGTTCAGGTGTGAGGAGCTCTATCTGGGCCATGTCCAGGTGGAATGAGCTCTATCTAGTGTCATGTCCAGGTGTGATGAGCTCTGTCAGGATCACGTCCAGGCGTGATGCCGCGTTGCCGGCGCTGTGCAGGTCTGCTCGGAGGAAGCCGGCCGGGAGTGTCGGCTCGGTCTAGCTGCCGGCCGGCCCTGGTCCGGCGTCACAGCCTGTCTGGACTTCTGCGCGCACGCCCACCGAGACGTGCACAACATCCAGACGGGCTGCACGGTGGTGAGGGGCCACGCGCGGCCGGGTCGGGCAGCCGTCGGCAGGTGGCTAACGCGGTCCGGCCACTGACGTGATGCTGGGAAGGGCTAGGCTTCTGTAGATGTTGTCCCCGCAGTCAGCGCTGGCGATGCAGAGAAGAGCACGCCTGCGCATCCATTTGGTCAAGCGAAAACAAAGTGGATGGGCTGTTTTTTTTTCAATACTGACAAAAAGTTAGAATGGAGATGATATAAATGCAGCTTCCACTCGGAAGCGGGGAAGACAATTTTACATCCCGAGGGTGTCGTTTGCCACCGAAGGATGCCGATTTAGATACATTTCACTAATTGTCAGCAGTGGCTAGACGGAAATATGAGCATACAGGCCACCTGAGCAGACAAGCTTGCCGTCCGATCTACACTACGTGTCGCGTGAGTCGGCCGTTTGTGGCGCTGTCGGAGAGCGGCAGGTAGGAACGCATGACGATGTTTGCAAGTGGGGACACCCGCTCTCCGCTCTGTCATTTGTCGGACAGCTGGAGCTGTGACCCATGCTGCTCTTCAGGTGCTTACCCTGCTGAAGCCACGAACGGCCGCGTCAGATCAGCTGCCGGGCGATCAGTCGGGCTCGCCGCCCGACGTGCAGCCAGAACCACCGCTCGGCAGTGGGTCGGACGTGCTTCAAGACAAGCAGCCAGTCCCGCTGCTGGACGCTCCGTCGGAACCACCTCGGGACGTGCAGCCGGCCGCCCCTCCAGTCGAGCGGTCCGCCGCGCTGTCGGCCGCCGGGCCGCGATCAGAGGGCGGGGCGGGGACGGAGGAGGACCCGCCCTTTGACGAGCAGCTGCACGTGCTGCCGCTGTACGTGATGGATGACGCCGGTGAGGATCCGATGGCGGACGCCTCCTCTCGCGGAGTTCAGCGGCTGACCAGGTGAGCTGGGGCTGTCTGACTGGGTATTGGTCACAGCGTGCTGGAGCACACAGTCTGTGTGGTCTCCGTCGGCCAGTATGGTCTGACCTAGGTGGCGGTGTGTTTTGTTCGTGACCGCTTTCAAAAGAGGTGATACCGTATTTTGGTTTGCATCTTTTATGTTGGATTGTTCCGGTCGCCTTCTGATGCGCCTATAGGTCGGGTATCATTGCTTTGTCTTTGCGGACGATAGATACGTCTGCATCACGCCGTTGATTTCACGTAGATGGATGCCCTGGTTGCCGAGCCCTAACAATAACCCTCAGACATCCCTAAAAACAGTCTCTAAATGGGCCTGAGATCAGAGCCGGCTGCCACCTGTGCTCTGCAGCTTTTTGCGACGAACAAACTTTACACGCCCCGTGTGCATCGAATGGGCAGTATATATTTGATATTTTGTTGAATATTATGTACATTACATTGTTGCACTAAAAGTAAAAATGATCCATGCACCCTGTGCCCGAGATGCCTTAAGTTTGTCCATAATTTTTAAGCAAATGTGCCGTTGTGATGAAGACTGCACGGGGCTGTAACAGCTGCTTGCAATAATAGTAGCTTACTGAAATAGTAGCTCATGGGCGCGTCGACGGTCATCTTGTGAAGCAGTGCAATCCCCCCCCCCCCCCCCCCCCCCCCAACAGCACCCAAAAAACCTGGGTGGTAAATGGCGAGCTGTGAGTTTCATTTCCCTATCCTCGCCGCAGAACACTGTACTTGTAAAATATTCCTTTGAATCCCGAGACCAGCGCTTTCAGGGCTAATGGTAACGTTACAGCATACTTGGCATGCTGCCGCAGCCCCACGGAGGATCGGGTTGTTAGAAGCTGTAGAGGTTGTGACGTACGTGCTGCTGTTTGGATTCGACTCAGCTGTTCGCCTGACGAAGAATTCTCGGTACTTGTGGAGAGCCACACCTCCTGCCTGTCGGCCGGGCTTCCCTCAAATGACCCCGGCCCTCTGGTCGGCGTCAGGCGCGTGGAGTGCCATGCTCGGAGTGGTCGTTTCAGGTGCACACCGACTTGTTCCAGCGGCGGCTCAGGCCTACCGTATATACCGGCTGCTGGAGCCGCGCGAATGGGAGGACCTGGCCAGGCCAACACACTGGCGCGGAAACAGCGGGTGGCTTCAACCCCACCCACTTGTCGTTCATTACGGCGTTCTCGAGCCGTCGGATGACCGCGGGCCTGTCATTTTACCACGCTGTTTTGTAGAACTATGAATTCATCGAATTTCGTGGGCATTGCAGATTTGGCTGAAACCATCTTCAGCAGCTGGCATTGGCGAGCTACCGAGCTACCGAGCTATATGTAATTAACGTGCGACGATTCAGTATGGGTACGCTGCGGGTAATGTGCTTCCGACCATTGCCAAGCCTTTACCAACGTTATCACGTTGCCATTTCTGTTTCCAGTTTTCCAGTCGAAATCCGCGAGCGGGAGGTGCCTCTGCCCAGCTGCAGTGCACGAAAAGCCAACTCTCGAGCCCCGCGGCGTCCAGCCAAGTCAGCCAAGCGCGACCAGCCGCCAACTAAGCGTGCCTCCGTCGTGCCGGGCTCGTCACAAGGGTCCGAATCGGCGCCTCCGACGTGGGAGCCGGGTCCGGCCAGTTTCTCCCCGGAGGCGTCCGTCGACGGCTGGACCTCGGGCTGGGTGTCGTCCGCGGCGCCGGCGCCGACCCTCTTCCCGAACGCGTTCTGGTCGGGCGAGTCCGCCGGCGAGGCAGCCCAGTCCGCGTGCTGGGCCGAAGCTGGAGCCGGAGACATAGTGCCCTCTGTCCGGGAGACGGCCGATGCCGACCATGCGTACACGCTCCCCGTTCACCAGCTGCCGCTGACGCCGCCGCCGCCGCCGCCGTCGCCGTGCGCCGCTCCGCAGGCGGCGCCGCCGGATCGAGGCCGCGTCTGGCCGGCGCCGCCCGCCGGCTGCACGCCCCCGCCCACGCCGCGGCCAGGCTGGCCGATGCCGGCGGAGGCGCGCCCGTCCGGCCCGCTGGTGGCCGGTGACGCCGCGTCCCACCGATCCGAGGCGGAGACGGCGTGCGGTGCGCCCGGCTGGCAGCGCGAAGCGATGCGCCGCACCGCGTGTGTCTCTCAGACGGCGGAAGGCGTCCGTCTGTACCACTACCGCTCGGACTGCGCGGCCAGCTTCAACGACGACGCGGCCGGCGGCGTGGCCGTCGCTCTCACGCACGGCTCGCTGCTGTTCGAATGCGCCGTGGACGAGCTGCACGCCACGACGGCGCTGCGCCTGCCCGACCGGCGCCGGCCGGCGCGGCTGGCGCTCGTCTTTTACCAGCACCGCAGCCTGCAGCAGCGTCGTCACGGCTGGCTGGAGCGCGAGCAGCGCGAGCAGCGCCAGCGGCGTCGGGCGGCGGTGGCGGCCGCGGCGGCGGAGGAAAAGCGGGCACGACCCCCTCCCGGCACGGCCACCACCCAGACGTGGAGCACGGCGCCGCCAGCGACCGTGCCCTGCCTGGTGACGGGGGCGTACGCGCCCTGGGAGTTCGGGTTCGCCGCCGCCATGGCGCCGCACTGGCCCGATCAGGAACTCTTCATCGTGTGACGCGCCGGCCGCCAGAGGAGAACGGCCATCGATGGAAGTTCCTCGGCCGGCTGGACGGCTGTGAGGAGGTGGGCAGGAGTGCGACACCGGGGCCCATCCAGTGTTTGACGGACTTTAAAGAGTAGGCGCTAGCAAAGCGGGCGTCATAGCATAGAACCTGGAGGAATGAAGCCGTGACGCTGAACCATTCACTGCCTCCACTGCCTCCACTGCCTGCACTGCCTCCACTGTCTCCGGTTTCATTTAACCTTCCGCAAATGGTGGGCTCTCTAACAATGTGCGGGTCACGGGAATGTTGTTGGGGGTGGGTTGCTTGGTGATTGTGACATGTATGCACGTGCATGCATGTTTTGGGCCACTGATACGTAATTGTGTCAGTGTCGATGTACCTGTGTACATGTTTTGGACCACTGACACGTGATGTATCAGTAGCAGTGTGCAAGGGCTGTAATTTCATTAATTATTTTAGCAGGGAACGCCGCTTTAGTGTGGGTGGGGGTCCGTTTAACATTCATGGTACTAATTCTCGTCCGGGTCCTGTGGCCAGGATTAAATGTGTGCCGTTCGTAACAGTCGTATTTGGAGTCACATCTCCCATATGGTCATCCAGTTGCCAAACCTGTGAAAGCGACTTGTTTGTCATCGCCACGTGCTGCTGTATTTTGCGTGCCGTTGTTCTACTGGGAACTGGCTGCCCGGTTTCTCATGCGTCGCGGACGTGTAAGGCATGTATTATCTCATTGTTCGCACCAGTTTCCGGTGCAAAGCAATGAAAAAGTACAAAGATTAAGCAGAAGTACATCAGATAATCACTGCCAAGTGAATACCAAAACGTAGAGCTTCGTACGTCAGAGATACGTAACACGTTCATTTAGCATCCCTTATGTAGAGCATACGCCATGCTACTGCAATTTTCTTCCTTCCGTGACTTGCTCTGGATGTAGCCTGTGGTAAGCTGCGTACATCATGAGCGTGATAAATTTGAGGTACACTTTCCATTCCGCATGGCTTTGTCGGTATGCTGTGACAGCAGAAATCTACTCATCTTCTGGTGACAATAGACATCGGGCTTGAGCAAAGCTCTTTTTTGTGTCCGTGAATTGCGTCTGCAGGGATTGTACAGACCAGGGCTTGGGTATTACTTGGCCTTGGCGACGGGGGATGGGGGCGGGGGGCACAGTGGTGCTCTCGGAGTCAAGCAGCTCCTCTTCCGGCGGCGCCTCCGGGTTACACAAAGTGAACGTCAGCGTGGCGGTGGATTTCGCAGCCGTTATTTGCACGCGCATTGTGGTTCGTTTTGTTTCGTGACTCCAGCTGTGAGTCTAGCATTAACCTGCCGCGACGTAAGTGGGGCGGCCTTTCTCAACTGGTGAGCTTAGCAACCTTACAATGGTCCTGCCTGTCATCTGCGCACCTCACTCGTCGGTGTTCACATGAAAAGATGTAATCTACCATTCTCACGTCAGCTCAATGCTGTCATCGTCGGGAGCCGTATCCCTGTAAAGAAGGGTCGCAGCGACGTGAAACTTGCACAGTCCGATAGCGCATGGAATGGGCCATCGCGATCGGGTAAGTTTTTTTGCGTCACGTGACACGTGGCACGTGCACACGTGTTGATAAGTTGAAACCGGCCGCTTTTGACGCCGTTTTACGTTTGTCGTTATATCTCGGCACGGAAAGAAGGTAGAGCTCCGAATTTTCCTTCTCAACATTTACAATTAAAGCGGCTGCATTTTCGGTACCCATTGCGAGCTTGTGCAACGCACCGTTGCGTTGCAAACTGCATTACAAGTTGCAACGGGCCAAGTTTTCGAGACCGAAGCTGAATACAAGCCGCTACCGTCGAAAACTATGCGTGATCCAGCGTGTCGGCCAATTCGTCCCTGTCTCAGATGCACTCTTTTGTTTATGGTATTTAGAAAATGTCGCTCGCAAATAGGCCTAGTCTGTGGGGTTGCATGCAGGGAGCTTGAAACGCTTTTGAACTAGGATGGGAGTGAAAAATTCCGTCACAAAAAGATCGTGCGGGAGTGAAAAAAACCAATTCACATAAGATGGAACTTGTGAGCTTGTGATTGATGCTTCAGCAAACAAAGACATCTTATTCAAGTTGGCATGGATGCAATATCCTAAACCCGACAAAACTGTTTTGTTTTTTAACATCTTTGGCCATGAAAGTGAAACAATATATTAACGCATAACAATGTCATGACAGTGTAATGAGCATAAAAATTGTTTAACGCCAATAATTTGATGCTGCACTTTGTTCCTCCCTTCCAGAGCGTTTTTAACACAAAACAAAGCAAAGGAATTCAATAGCAAAATAACAACAGAAAATTCATCAAGTATAAACCATTCAAACAACAAAAAAACCTTGGACTTCTATACATAAGCCCATCACTATGTCAAACACAATAGACATACCTCTGGCTTCTGTTAAGATGAGGTCAGGGAAAACAAACATTTTAGCATTGTTTCTTACAAAATACCAATGCTTATTTCCATGAAGGTAGCCTAACTATGCCTAACCTAAATAGGCCTTACTTCATCTCATCCTGTCTAACCAGTCTGCATCACAGCAGCAGTTGTGAGTTCCTGATTCTTGCACAATTCCTAGTGCCACCTGCCATGCACTTAACCAACTTCACCCAACTTAGAGTAGCCCATATGTTGAACATCATCTCAACTCACCTATCTGTTGGCAGCAGCACTTGTGGTAAAAACATAATAAAGTTAATTTTTGACTGGTTTCAACCTGCATTTGTGTTCATTGCATTTGTGGATGCTTGTTGACACCAGGACAATGTTGACAACACACAAATCAAAACACTTTAAATTACTTTGAACAACTTATTTTGATTACCGTGGTTGACCTATGTCAAAGGCAGTAATGGGTATGCTTCACAAAATAATCCCTCTTCTCCAAAAGTAACATAACTTTTAGATTACCATGCCAGTATTGCTGCTTGCCTTTTTCAGCTGCAGCAAAGTCATCTATCTAGGCTTGTTTATTCATATTTCATGAAAAAGTTTGGGATGTTGGTTTCACATTTTAAATGGGATGGTCTGAATATTTGTTGCATACTAATATTTAGCTCATATTATAATTGCTAGGCAGTTTAGAATATCCCTGCGTTAAAAATATAGTGCATATACACAGTAGTCATTTGCTAGTCAGCCAACCATGACAACTGTAGAAAATATCTGGTTAAAGCAGCCATGATGGACCACTTCAAAAAATTTGGGGCAAAAGATCAAGAATATGGAACAAAATCAGCCCATTGCATGCCTTGTGGCATCACAATTTGTGTTATGACAAAAATCGATGGATTAAAACAGAAAATGGCTAACTCTGGTTATATATCATGCGCTGAAAGCAGGCAACGCAAGCAATTACTTGGTCCACGGAAGACTTACTGGCTTTTTCAGGGCACCCTTCTTCCTCCTCCCCCAAAACGAAAAGCCAGAACCTTTCGCACAGTTTGCTGACGGACAGTGTCATCTCACTCACCCCCAAATCTAAATATCAATCATGTCCACCAGCCTACGCGATTAAAATGCGAAACAAGTAAGAGATGTGCATGATAAACATTTCCGGAGGACAGAACTTCGCCATCAAACACTTCTGTATGAGCTGCGTCAGGTCTGTCCCAAGGCTCGGTATGGCAGCATAAGGATAGCCTTGCCAAGTGGCCTGGTGAGTTAGACACTCGAAAGGGTTAGATTTATAAGTATCGAGCACCGCCATGAACCAACAAAACGGCTAACAGGGTTTAACGGTAAAAAAATGGCGGCGAATGTAAGTTACGTGCTTCAAATTGTCTCCTTCATTCCCTGTGAATTTTTCACTCTTGGGTGCATGTCAAACATTTTTGGGCGGCTGGCGAATTAATCCAATTTATGTATAAATTACATGCAAGTTTGCAGTTGTAGCATCTTGCAGAGCAACTGGTCAGCATTTTAAGCAACAAATGATACCTCTAGAGGCAATGGGAAAGGAAAGAAGAATAAAGTGGTATCACACTCGGATGATACCAAGAAAAACAAAAGTAGTTGAATAAAGATATAAAGTCTTACTTTTTGGGGACACTCTCTTATCAGCTGATTCGACTTAAGATATGTTAGCGTGAGTGCTAAAATCGTGATATTCATCTGTTAAATTTCATTTAGAAGACATTTCTTGAATTTTTCGCTCCTGCATTTCGGGAGTGATGCAATTTGGTGGTCAAGTTTCCTCGGGTCCAAGAAATACGTGGAGTAAAATTACCTATCAGGCCTTGCTGGTGTTTGCACTAGGTTCTGCTTTCGTGGTGTGGTGGTGAAAAAGGGAATGCGTGAAACCCTGTATTTGGCACACAGCTGCCGATTGTGATGCATTTTATAAACAAACCAAACTTAATGCGTGCAAGCGGCTGGAGTCCCTGGGGTTCTCGGGCTTTGAGGTGCCTGGCACCCTTGCCCTATGCATACATAGCCATGATTCAGATGTAGGTGAGGCAGGACATAGCCATAGGTGTCCATGTTCTGTGGAGCCTCGTTTATGCTTGGTGGTTTCAAGTGAGCTCAGTTTTGGAAGACATCTGAAAACCTCAGAAAGGGAAATAGGGGTTTGGAGTGCGCGATTAGACAATGCCAGGCAGAAGTGAAAAATTCACATAAAATATAGGGAAAAGGAGAGAAAAACTTTTCCTCATAAGGTGTCGCTTTACACCCAAATCGGCAATTCTAGGACATTGGTTGCATGACGGTTTTTTTCGCCGCGACGGTGGCAAGTTCTGCCCCGGTTCCCCGCGTAC